CCACTTGGGAGCGCAGCGGCGCTCCCGCCGAGGGTTCGGATCCCATGTGGAGACCGGTTCCCGCTCACTGGTTGAGCGTGGTACGGGTGCGACACTGAGGGTTGTGATCCCGTTGCCGGTCCCCGGTACGGGCACGACACCGAGGGTTGCAATCCCGTTACCGGTCAGTAAAAAAGACAAAAAGGAAAAAAAAAATGTCCCAAGGGAGAGAATATGATTGAGTTTGCTACTAGTCAGTATGGACACGTGCCCCGCATTGGGCAGGGTTCTCGTGACAAGCCCCCTTGGCTCCCTTACATCCAGCCTCATGGCTATCTTTGGCAGGTTCCTGGCTCTGTTGGTTTTGAGAGCATGATAAAGTCACATCACACACAGCACAGCCTTTCAGAGAAAGGCCTGTGGATATAGAAGGCAGCTGAAGGTTTTTGGATTATCCAGTCTTGTTCAAAATGCAGAATATTCTCTAATTACAGTATTTAGAGACATCTGTCCGTGTTCATCCTCACCTTGCTGTTGTGAAACGACAGGCTTCAAGCACTCTCCCTCTGCCCTTGCCTTTTCAGACTGAAAAGTCCTTATTCTTTCTCCATTATTGTTTCTGGTTTTCCCTAGTTCTACTATGAATTTATTCAGGTGTAGAAATCAAGACCATACTTATTTTTTTTCCAGTCTGAATGCACCAGGCTTTTAAGAGAAGATAATCTTTTTCTTTTGTTTCTAGTATCCTCATGTGGAAGCCTCTCAGCATGAGGTCTAGTTTCTTTAACATGGCATAAAAATCAATAATGGCCCAGGTCCAGTGGATCTTTCTAGTGTCATTTACAGACACTTCCCTTGATAAGCCCTTGACACGAGAACCACACTCAATTGCCAGAATGTGATATAATGTACTCTAAAGCCCTCGTGACATTGCTCAGGCTGTTTTTCTCTGCTTGAAAGGTCTTCTGCGACCCCATGCTTTCGGTGCAGTGTTATGACAGAGTGGTTAACGGCATGGGCTCTGGGGTCAGGTAATCAGGGATTTAAATTCCAACTCTGCTTGGGTAAATTTTTTAACCTCTGTGAGCCTTAGTTTCCTCACCTGTCAAGTGGGGATAATCATACTTATCCCTCAGGGGCTAATCATTCAATTAGAGAATGCACATAAAGCGGTTATTCCAATGCCTGGTAAACACTCAGTAACTGGAAGCTCTCCCTAATATTTCAGGACCCAGCTTGGACACCTCTCCCTTTCCTTTTCCCTTCCTGAACCAGTACCACTATTATCCCACCCCCACTCCACCCATGGCATTGGTCAATTTCTCATCTAGCTATCCCAACACTTTATATATTAGTGATGGGTCAGTATTCCAAGACATCAACCATTTTTCTTTGTGTGCTCTTTTCCCTAATTTCCCAGCCCTCTATTCAAACCACAATTTTTTTTTAAACTAATACTTTTGGAAAAGGATGTGACAGCAGAAAACAGAAATCATGAGACTACTCTGGGCTTTTTGGTTTCAAATATCCAGCCCCTTAGGGAATCAGAAAGAAGTCATGGATGTCACTCGGGTGCACATCTAATACAGGAAGGATTGCGAGGGACTGTGGCAGCTGTGGTCTAATGGCCAACACCACTTAGCATCAGCCAATCGTTGCCATGCAGGACTTTGGGACCACTGCTACCAGAACTGCCTACGTTTCAAGAGAAACTAAAGAAAAAAAATTTAAAAAGCATTTATTACTTATAAAATTACTTATTCAGGGCCGGCCCGGTGGCGCACTGCTATAGTGCGCCGCTTGGGAAGCGCGGTGGTGCTCCCGCCCGAGGGTTCGGATCCCACATACAGACCGGTTCCCGCTCACTAGCTGAGCGAGGTGCGGGAGCAACACCAAGGGTTGTGATCCCGTGGCCGGTCCTGGTCCGGTACGGGGGCAACACTGAGGGTTGCGATCCATTGCCAGACACGGAAAAGGACAAAAAGGAAAAAAAAAAAATTACTTATTCAATACAAATTTATTCAGGAACAAACAATGGGTTAGCCAGAATACAAATACAAACAAGATGATTCCTGTTCCAGGAGCTCACAGTTTGAAAAATAACTAGACACATAAACAGAGGATTATGATATTGAGCGATAAGTCTTATGTCAGAGCAGTGATTTCCAAAGTGTGATCACTGGACCAGCAGCTAGGAACTTATTAGAAGTGCACATTTGCAGGCCCCAACCCCAACCTACGGTTCAGAAAACTGAGCTTTGTGGGTAATTCTGACACATGCTTAGCTTGGAGAACCTTGATAGGAGAAAACAAAGAGGACTTTGAAGAAGAGAGCCAACACACCTGAGTGAACTTTGAGCACCTCTGCCATCTATAAATCATTTTCACAATCCCTTCCAGGCTAGATTCTGAATAGGTTGCTGTGTGGTAATTCACAAGGATAATACACAAGTGTATCTTGTCTTGTAAGTAAATTGTAAGACCTTGAAGGGCAGGGGCTGATTCTTCTTTTATTTTTTCATTTCTCCTCCTACTTTCAAACATCACCACAATACTTAGAAGATAAAAGCACAGGAATTTAGCTAATTCAGAAATTTAACAAACCTGGTACAAAAACATTTATGGGGAGAAATTGGAAATGTAGATTTACAAATGTCGGGAAAATGAAATGGATAAATGGTCAGGGCCCCTCAGATGTTCAGAATCTTGCCAATCATTTGATGTAAATATGCACGTGTGCCCAAATGTTCCTTGGTTATTGTCTGTGGTAATTGTGCGTGTGCACCCAGGTGTTCCTGGGTTGTCCGACTCGCACCCAGGTGTTCCTGGGTTATTGGACAAGTATAAAGGACAAACGGCTCTGATCCACGGTGCCCCCTGCCCCCCAGGATACCCCTAGGGGGAGCCATGGGGAGGCCATTACTGATGCTGGAGGTGGTGGCAGCAGCAAGCTGTTGTTGAGGAGGCTGAGGCCTGAGCTCATATCATCCACCAACGGCTCCCAGGGTCTTTCCCAATTACCTAGCTCGCAACCTGCATGGGAGGGGTCTGGTGACCCAGCCTGGCATGGAAGGGGTCTGGTGACCCAGTCTGTACAATGGGTTTGAAGGGTCTGAGCCCTAGCCTGACAATTAGTGTAGCCATCAGGGTTCCGAGCAGGTAAAAGAACGTGACAACGAATTTTCCTAACTTTTTGTTGTGATAAAATATACATAAAGCTTGCTATTTTAACCATCATATTAAGTAAGTCAGGCACAGAAAGACAAATACCATATGATCTCACTCATGTGAAATCTTAAAAAAAAAAAAGTGGTTCTCAAAGAAGAGAGTAGAGTAGTGGTTGCCAGAGGCTGGGAGGGGAAGGAAAGGGGAGGGGAAGAGGAGGGGGAGG